AATGGTATTGTGGTGGTGCTCTTCGTGTTGTTTCATCGATTGAGTTATCGTTTCCGTGCTTACCCGTCGACACTTTGTTTGCGCACGGGTCTTGCGCACTTTCACCAGCTTCTGTTATCGTGTTGGATGATGGACAAACCTTTCATGTCAGGAAGAGTCGACTACGGGTGTGCCCGTATTCGACTCGGTGTCTGCATGTTGGATTATGAGATCTGAAATGGTATTGTGGTGGCGCTCTTCGTGTTGTTTCATCGATTGAGTTATCGTTTCCGTGCTTACCCGTCGACACTTTGTTTGCGCACGGGCCTTGCGCACTTTCACAACCCGTATTTGACTGAAGCATTGACTACAGGGCGGGTTGGGTTAAAGGGTTAGGTTTCACGGGTAGTTATACACAGCAGAAAGCATAGTTGGGGGAAAAGAACATTCGTTCTGTTTGATTTGGGTTAGATGAAAAACTCAGCTCCTGGTCGTAATGTGTTATCGTATTTTTGGAATCGGGAGTTGAGTTTGCCCGCAGAGGCCAAGACGAATGCGAGGAAGCAGGGGTTGGGTCGACCTGGTTTGGAGGTGAGTTCAGGGTGGTATTGTACAGCAAGGAAGAAGGGGTGGTTGGCGATTTCGAGGACTTCAAGACGTTGGCCGGATTCGTCTTTGCCGATGAATCGGTAGCCGTGTTCAGCTAGGCGGTCGTGGAAGTCCATATTGAACTCGTACCGGTGTCGGTGTCTTTCATCGACCGTGACTGCCTGGTCATAGAGCTTGAACGCCAGAGACAGGGTGCCGTTCTCTGTTTGCGAACAGAGGTGTGTGGCCCTGCGACCAAGTCTCATTGTGCCACCCATAGCCTTGTTGATGGTCTCCGGCATGAAGACGATGACTCGGTCTGAGCCCGCCGCCCCAAATTCCTCACTGCCAGCGCCGGGTATGTTGAGGAGCGACCTTGCGCCTTCCACGCAGGCCATTTGCATACCGAGACAGATACCAAAGAAGGGTATTCTATTTTTCCGAGCATATCCACACGCAGCCACCATACCTTCCGCACCACGTTGTCCGAAACCTCCTGGAACGAGCACTCCTTGACACGAGCGCAACTTGGTCCATTCGGCCTCGTACTCAGCGTGCTTTGGATCTGATAGACACTCCGCATGGATCCAGACAAGCTTCGCGTTTACCATGCATTCGGTGGCGCTGTGTTCAATGCCCCTCACGACAGACAGGTAGGTATCATTGCTGCCTATATATTTAGCAACAAAGCCGATCTGCGTGACTGGAACTGTCTTCAATGCTTCTTCCCGTTCTGCAATCCTCGTCCACACCTCAACCGGCGAAAGGCCATGGTAGAAACGGGTGACTTGGTGAGGGTTCCTATAAGGCATATCGAGCTTGCTGGTCAACAACTGGCCGAAATTTTGGGAGAGCAATAAGCCCGGTACCAGATAGCTGGATTTGACGTTAGGCAATCCAATCACATACCGATCATTAATTCCGCTAAAGACACTCAATTTCCTCTTCGTACAAGGTTCTAACATTGACTCCGCCCGTCCTAGGATAAAGTCAGCTGCCAGACCCGCCTCGCGCAGCGCTTTAAAGGAGTGCTGCGCACATTTAGTCTTCTGCTCCGAGCCGATTTGTGGGATGTAGATTAAGTGGCACAGACAATAATCTTTACGGTCAAGTCGAGCGAAGAATTGCTGCAATGCCTCCAGATAGACACTACTTTCGATATCACCAACCGTACCGCCCACCTCAATTAGACAAAAGTCAGCCGCACCGTGCTCCTCTAAACCATCTACACAAATCGTGTGCGCCACACACTCAATCCATTCCTGAATAGCATCCGTTACATGCGGTACCATTTGAACTGTCGCACCCAAATAATCTCCGTTTCTCTCCGCCTGGATTATCTTACGGTAAATTTTACCAGTTGTAATGTTATGGTCCTTTGTTAACTTCACTTCCAATGCACGCTCATAGTTACCCAAATCCAGATCGCCTTCATGTCCATCATCCAATACAAACACCTCCCCGTGCTCACCTGGCGCTATCGTACCCGCATCCACATTTAGATATGGGTCAATCTTAATCGCAGTCACACGATACCCACAGGACCGCAATACCACACCCACCGACGACGCCAATGTGCCCTTCCCCAAACCGCTCACTGACCCTCCTGTCACTACCACAAATTTCACCATCCGCCGGCAGAATTTTGGGACCCGAATTTCGGGGTCCAAAATTACATTCAGACCCACCAAAACTCAACAACCAACTTCACCGAAACTCACTTGTGCCACTAAGCCGGTGTATTATCGACATTTGGACGAAAGACTTGGCAAATGGTCTCAAGAACTGTCTCTTCTTTCGGACTTCTGTTCTCACGGACAAGCAAAAGACCTGACTGTGGATGTGCTAGCTAACTAACTATCTATCTCACTCCCACCTCACCTCGTCAGGGCCTGTCTACCTGCTCTCCTTTTTCTCTGACTCCCCGCCAGGAGGACTCCTCACCGCCAGTAGGACTCCCCGCCAGGACGACTCCCTACCAGAACGACCCGCACGACTCCCTCCCTACCAGAACGACCCGCAGCCAGAACGACTCCGGCATCAAGGCGCCTTCTCATCTTCCGCCGCTTCCTCCTCCTCTTCTTCCTCCTCTTCCTCCTCCTCTTCCTCCTCCTCTTTCTCCTCGTCGCCATCCTTATCCAAGCCGACAAACTCGTCTTCGACGATCTTCGCGACGCGGTCGATTTCCACCATTTCGACGAGGAGGTAGAGGTTGAATAGGGTTCTTGCGTCCCATTCCACTTCGGGTCCGGCCTTGTCTAGTCTGTTGAGAGCGACGACGTTTCGTAACACTCTGTTCGCGAGTTCAGTGTAACAGGCGCAGTAGGTTTCCTTGTTGAAGGGCGTGAGCTTGGGGAAGAGGCACCCGGTCTGTCCCTTGTCGGCCTGTCGTTTATGTCTTTTTCTCTTTTCGACTGGCTCCTTCCCAGCTTGTCCCTTCTCAGCTTGTCCCTTCCGACCTTTCCGACCCGGTCTGCGTATGGCGGCGCAGAGGAGTGCGGTTAGGCAGCGCATGTCGGTGATAATTTCCGTGTATAGCTTGCGGCGGTCCTGTTCGGCGCTCATCGCTTCCGGTGAGTCAGAGAGGGTACGTCCGATATTAAGATCGAGCCGTTTAAGTTCACAGAGCCAGGACTTGCGCACGGCCACGCGTCTTTCCAGGGCCTCGAGGAGGCCGTAAATGCCAGCACTTACAGGCCAGAGGCGGTGCAGGACCTCTCGGTCGGCGATGAGTCGTCGACCGACAGCGACTGCATCAAACGCACGAGCGTGTCGTTGTTCCTCAAACTTGCGCCAAGTTTCTACGTCTGTTCGTGCTTCACAGTCAGGTGGTGGTTCTAATAGGGCCGCCTGTGACTGGACCGGACGGCTGGCTTGGACAGAGGCTCGGATCTTGATCATGGTTTCGGCTTCACGCTCTGTTACCGGGATCCTAGATGCCGGTGCTTCATGCGTCACTGGCTTAAGAGCTGGCATCGAGAGCTCTAGGATGGCTTCGAGTCCACTTTGAAAATTTTCCAGTGCCACACAAGCCTCATGTCTAAGATGCCTTACGCAAAAGGTTGGCACCACCGCCCACGTCACCAACACCGCCGTTCCGATGCCCACGAGTTGTGCGACAAATCTCTCCACCATCAACTCCGTTCGATCAAATTCGTCGATGGCAGTAATCGCCAGAATAATGATCTGCTGGTAAATAAACAACTGCGTCACGTAGCCCCAAGACGGATCGAATCCCACAGCTGGATTTCCCGGGTGTGCACCAATCCAAACTGCCACAAATCCTGTCACAGTCAACCACAACGCATGCGCCCACCAAGCTCTCACACTGCACAGCAAACATAAATATGCGCTCACGGTACCCAACACTACACCCGATGCCCGTAACATAGCTCGTTTCGCACAACCTACTGGCGTCTCCGTCACCGTCGTCAGGAAACCTACACAGGCCCACCCCGCATACTTGGTCGTCATTAACTTCTCCATGTCTACCATCGATGATAGCATGCCACCACGATGATGCCCCGTCAAATTCCACGTACGCCAACGCTCTAGAGACACACCAATCGCAAACAACGCACTATTACCCAATGCCAAACGTAACGCAAACCATACGTCCGGGTTGTGCGCCAAACTTATACGCTGATGCCGGGAATTCAAACACAAGTTCCATTCATTCCCCTCCTTCCGGAACCCGTCCCGCACTGCAGGGCCCACCGACACACTCAAAGTTCGCTCACCACTTAACTCTCTACAACACCAACGATCTGTCCCACCCGCGGTGTCCTACCCCCCATCGGGCGCCTACCCCCCATCGGGCGCCCTACATCTCTCGTACGTGCTCTATACATGCTCTGTGATAGCTTACATAGTCGCGGTCTTTGTGATGAGCTCTTCCCATGGGTTCCCCTTGGTCTTGACGCCCAGAACGCGCCGCTGGAAGACTCGACCACATCCCTTGGCGAACCGGATCCAGGGCGCCACTAGACTGTACAGGAAGAGCGGCAGGCCCGCTACCATGGTGCCCAGAGTGATAAGGACTCGCTTCCAAGTGGGCCGGTGCAGGTGAACGTAGGCGTCTCTTTGCAATCTGAGCAGCTCGTCTGCCGGCTCCAGCAAGCAGTTTGCATGGAAGGAAACCAAGGTGGCTGTAGACGAGAAAATTTGTCCAGACATGTCCTTTAGGCGTCCTAATACAACTTCACAATTCCTCACCTGCGCGGCCAGAGCAGCACGCTCCTGGTACAAACTGTTCATCCCAAACCTTGTAGCCTCCAAGGTACACAACTCACTCACCCGGAGGGCTTGGTACACCGATAATAAGCTCCGACGAAGCACTTCACCGATTGTTGCGTCCTTTTCCAATACAGGCACATCGGGCGCAGGAGGGCACAACCCTACTGCCTCCGGACTGCGGCTGTGGACCAGATCAACGAGCCGGTACGACTGAGACTGACTACGGCTTCGCCGTCCAGCCCCCTTGTACCCTCCCTTGTCCTTCCCGCCTCCGACCTTCTCTTCCCCGTCACTCTCTCCACCCCCGCCAGGTTCCTTGACCTGAACATGCTTCCGGGCTTCCCCGGGTTCCTCAAGCAATCCACTAGGCTTGGCCCCAGCGTCCTCAGTACCCTTAATGTCGTTTCTGGTGGCTTCCATCTGCGTCAGTATGTCGTCTATAGGCGCTTCCGAAGACATGCCAGAAGACAAAGCAGTAGACAAACCAGGGGCCAGTGTCTTGGCGGTAGACGACCTTGAAGGCAGCAAATGACTCCCACGCGAGCCCCTTTCTGTAAGACTGCTCCGGCGTTCAGTACTACGACCGTCGCTGCTCAGGCCATATGTGCTTCGACGGAGTGTGCTCTGACGCGCGTCTATCATGCGACTCATGCGAGGGGGGTCCGCGTCTTCGCTTTCGATGGATGCTGAAACTTCTGCAGTCTCGACCTGGGGGGCTGCCCCTTCCGTAGCAGAATACTCCGGGAATGCGCCTTCGCCAGTGTTATCAACAGAACTGCGGGTCATGAGGGAGGTTCGGCTCTTCACCCCAGTGGCAGCTGACCCTGACCCAGAACTGATACGCCCGCTTTTCAGATCCACACAGTCTTCGGCTCCAGAACTGCTCTGGCCGTCGACGATGGTGATATCCACCCATGTGTGCTTGCTTAATGGGTCATTCGTCCTGCGGATACGGTGACCCCATTCGTCGGTCTCCAGCTGCTTGTCCTCATCCGGCGTGAGAGCTTCCAATGCGGCAAACCACCTCTGGTCCAAGCTAGTCTTATCCAAGGCATCGTGGTATCCGTTGTGCTTCATTTCCAAGTACGTGCTGTAATACTGCAGACAACACAGATTGGTACCAATGCGCTCAATCAGTTTTACAATTTTCATCCTTTCCGATACTATGTTCGTTCCCTGGTACGCAAATAACGGGGTCTCAAACACCGATATTAACATCGTCGAGTTGCTGCTCTGAAGGGACTGTAATAGCAAATCCAATCGACGATTATAAGAGGGATACTTCTCTATCAGACTCAGAACGTTTCTGTTGATGACAGTACCAGCCATAGAAGAATGCCGTGAAATGGTATAACCCTGATAAGGGTCAAAGTCTCCGTCCACCCCTTGTAGTCCTCGTGGGGACGGGGCAAATACTGTTCCCTTTCTTCTTATTCTACCAGGTGGCAGTACGACAGTTCCCGCCAGGTGAGAATCCTCCTCGTTGTGATACGCGCTTACATCTGACCCGCCCAGCTTCTGCTGGCCCTTAGGATTGGACAGACGTACCAAGTTTGGTGGTGTCTGGTAATCGAGGTCTCGAACAAATTCCCCCGCGCCCCCAGCACACGTGTGTGCGCGGGGGGCTTGGCGGTTAGTTTGTCCCCGCTTTAACCAGTCTATAAGATTAGCCGCGATTATACTGTGGCAGGATGCTAGGGACTGCTTGAAGAACCCAGTACCGGTCCTAACCGGAGGGATGAGAAGCGAGGCAGCATAAAACCCAAGTGCGATCCACGCATAGACAATAACGCCCCAAAGGAGTCCGAAGGCATGTCTTGTTTCCCATACAAATCTCAGAATGTGGTACCCGCCTGGTATGCTTGCGCTAATGCCTTTGCTGATAGCGCCACTAAGTTTCAACGGGACACCGATGAGATGTTTGAATCCAGGTTCGTTAGCGAACGGGCCAAGAAGGCCTGCAGTAAGGGGCTCATCAAGATTTATCTGATAATTGGAGAGGAGAAGGATTAAATACGCAGGTACAATTGTCATGACCCAAGAGGGTAGGGCAGACATTAGATCAATGGGCCCAATATGGGCCTCTACGCCATGTTCCACTACCGTTTTAGTCTGTATGCTTCCGTATTCAGTGGAATAAACTAGAGCGTAGTATGCGATCATCATTAGGGGCGCCAGTCGCCCGAGCCTCAAGTTGCTTGCAAGAAGGAAGCAGAAGCATCCGATTAAGACTACAATGATGTCGGCGACAGTTTTGTTAAGACCTTTTTCAGGGACCGACGCCCATACATACCAGAACAGTGTAATAAACCCAAGAGCCACGCAGATGGCAGGTAGGGCGCAAAATATCAGCACCGGTATAATACCGACCATTGGAGGTAATAAAGCGGCTTGGATGCAATACAGGATAATGCCCAGTTGAGAAAACTGAGTATTCGGTATCTTCTTGTACGACATCCATAAAAGGACCGGGATCGGTGCAGCAAAGCGCACCGCACGCTCCGTCCTCACGGAACAAACAAACCTCAACAGACAACCCCGCCAACCCCCCTCCTGACCGCACCAGGGCTTCAACCCACTCAGCAGACCGTACGTGCTCTTGCCACTGTCCACCGCTGCAGTACCTAGACCACCGCTACCAATGCGGTACGCGTCTTTGGAGGTCTGTCGTTCCATCGCAACCGCCAGTGGACTTGACCCTGCCGCCTGATGACTTAATTGCTGCTTGGTTACCGTTTTTTGGTGATCAGTCGTCGTTGGTGGTGCCGCTTGCCTTCGCCGCTTACCAACCTGGCCCTTAGTAACTTGGCCCTTAGTAACTTGCCGACTGGTAATTGGCGCTTAGTAATTGGCTGACCTTAGGCCTGTTGATAAATTGGGCAAAAATCTTAAACGACCTTTTTCCTTAACCCAGCCAATCTTTTTCCCCAACCCAGTCGGCCTTCCCGGGCTAGATGCAGCTGTCTGCCATCCAGCTTTGGTTCGTGGTCATCACGGCTCGGCACCGTCGGTGGACCCGTCGTTCCGAACAGCACTTGGTGGGTGCCGTGAAAACCGTGACTGACATCCAGGACGTGCCTGCTCTGTTTAATCTAGACATCAGGCCCCCGGGCCACCACGGCGGTGGGGACTCCGAGGATCGCGACTCCGGAAGTCGCGACTCCGAAGATAGAGGTTCCGTACAGGACACGGCTACCGAGATAACGAAGGCTTTGTTGTCACCATTCGGGACTGAGGGCGAGGTTGCAGGCACAGTCGTGTCCAAGATGCTTTCCGGATTGGAACGGCGTCGCCGCGACAAATTACAGCAACAAGGAATTTATTCTACGCACAAGTCCGCACATTTCACCAGTCCTCTGGGCTTGCCTTGCAACCCACAAACCTCACCCCTTCTCTGTGGGAATATCACCGACATCACAGACCCAACCAAACCCGCTGACGAACTACGCCGCGAAAGACGGGAACGAAAAGAAGACCGCGAACGCGTTCGGGACATCAACAACAAATATAAGGAACTCACTGGTGACTTGCCCCGAAATAGGGGCCGTAGGACTGGCGAACGCGCAACTGGTGAACGCACAACTGGCGACCGAACAACTGGCGACCGAACAACTGGCGACCGAACAACTGGCGACCGAGCAAACAGAAAACGCGAGCGTGCAGGCCAGCCAGGCCACATCAACGAGGTCTTCGACTCCACAGCGAAACTTGACCCCTTCGCTGACGACCCATTTGCAGACGACCCCTTCCCTGACGACCCCTTCCCTGACGACCCCTTCATTGACAACATGGACTAGCGCTGCACGGTATATGATGCACGGTGTATGATGCACGGCATATGATGCACGGCATATGATGCACGGCAGTGAAAGTAACGCTTTTCCAGCAACCGCTTTTCCAACAACCGAGCTCGGCTTATAGTTAGTGATGTCTCAGGGAGGGGTTAAATAATGCCCAGCTGGTGAGCTAATATTGCGGCAAGGCTGCTCGGGTGTTTCTCTGCAATCCGGACTGTGTTATACCGTTGAAGTGTTTTTGAAGATGTATTTGGTGAAGTTGGGCATACTGGGAATAAGGTCCTTTTCCCACACAGAAGTGGAGACTTTGAAATTTACACGGCCATTGACCTTGATTGTTGGCCACAATGGAGCAGGCAAGACCACCATAGTAGAGTGTCTTAGAATGGCGACAACGGGTGAAAATCCACCGAATGCGAACAAGGGACACAACTTCTTGCATGATCCAAGGCTTCTAGGATTGGTGGATGTAAAAGGTCAAATAAGATTGATATTCATGACTAAGATGCATGGTAGTCACCATATTGGTCTGCAAGGGAGACAGTCGCAATCAAGTGTACAATCCGTTGATGATATTAGTGGGACCGGTACTAGTCAGAAGGCGGATGATATTCAAGTTGCTACCGTGCGGAATTTCTCATTAACCTGTTTGGATAAGAATGGTACTACAAAATCCACATTCAAAGCTATCGATAGCGTTGTTCAATTAAAGATGCCAGATGGACGTTTGAAAAGTATAACGAATAAATGTGTAGATATAAATAGCGCAATTTTAAGCTACTTGAGAGTCCCAAAGAGCGTGCTTGATAGCGTGATTTTCTGTCATCAAGATGACAGCGGTTGGCCATTGGCAGATAGTGCTACCTTAAAGAAAAGATTTGACGAATTATTCGGCTCAAATCGTTATAATAGAACTTTAGAGATTCTTAACGATCAACGGAAGAATCTTACCAAACTCAGCAAGGAGCACAAGCATGAATACGAACTAATTAGTAAGGATGTTGATCAGTATAACCATCTGTTGGCAAATTTGGACGTGTATGAGAAGGAGTTGAATGCTTTAAAGGAGACAAAAAAACAGTATGAGAATAATATACAAAATTTGGAAAATAAAAAAAAAGAAATAAAAATAAAATTAAATAAATTACAAGATAAAATTGTGGAATTAAAACATATACAACATAATCTCATCAAATATAAAAAAGAGCTTAGTGACCTACAGCTAACACTAGGTGAATCGCTAATAGAAGATGAGCTGGCTGTGATGGAACAAGGTTTAGAAAAGTACAGAAAAGAGAATATGGTAAATTAATATCCGACATGCCGATATGTGTGTTTCAGATTGATGAAAAGAAATTGGAACTAGCTCAAGAGAATATAATGAGTATAAATGAGAGGATTCGTGATTTGTTAAATCATAAATCCAAGGTTGCTGATAGGTTCAAGGAGCAAGCTAGACTTGAACAAACTATAATCTCTTGTAGAGCTGAGAATATGAAATTACGTGACGAATTAATGAAGGAGATAGCAAATGGTGAAGTTCACGACTTGGAAAATAAAGAGAACGGAGATGTATTAAAGAAGAAAGTAATGATGTATCTTACAAAAAGAGAACAGGATTATTGGCCAAATAAGAAGTTGGGTTTAATTAATGAGGTATCCGGAATAGACTTAAAAATAAGTGAAATGCGAACAATATTAACCGTAAAGGAAAAGGAGATGAATGATTTACAGCAGAAACTCTGGTCAATAGAGAGTCATAAGCATTTGCAAGAAACACGAAGTAATTATCAAGACAAGATTATCCAACTAAACCAATCAGTACCCATGCATCAAATAGTTCAGTACCTTCCTAGTGACTTACCTGATCGTACTAGCACTGATCGTTCTACCAAGGAACTTACCAGCACTGATCGTTCTACCAAGGAACCTATTACTAATGATGTTCACATATTGGAGTCAACCACTAAGGGTGATGCATTTCTTCTTGAAGGTAGTTTAAATGACTTAGGAAAAATTGATATGATTGTTTCGCTGCTACGAGCTCAGCTCGATAAGGCTAATACTAACTTTGTCGCTTTGGAAAAGAACGAGCATTTGATTAGGGAGTATCAGGAACGGAGCGATCGTTTGGATGGATTAATAAGGCAATTGGATGTGGCTGAAAATGAGAGACAAGCTCACGAGACTATGTTGCGGGAGATGGAGGATTTTGATAATAACAGCACTATAACTATATTACAAAGATCTAAGACGTTGCTGGCTGAGTATGAGAAATGTAAAACAGAATTGGAATCATCCTTACAAGGTCATTTCTCCAAAGTTGGTGAGCTAAATGGGAGGGTTAGTTCATTAAAAGATCGCCTGGATTTGAATCTCTTATCGATTGGAGATGAATTGGACTACAATGCTATAGACTATGATAAATGTATACACGAGTGTGAAACCTCATTAGAGGTTTATAAACGAGATTTCATTATGGCTCAGAATGCGGAAACTTTATATTCTAATTTTCATCAATACTCAATGAAGAAAAAGAAATGCGCTTTCTGCTTTCGTCCGTTTAATGATGATGAATTAAAAATATATAATAATAATATTAAATCAAAATTGACAGATATTCCTACAAAATTAGAGAATTCTAAAAAATTATTAAGTAAATGTGAACATGAATATGACGTACTTAAACATGATTTCGAGTTATATAAAAAGATGGAAGTTCATAAAACTGAGAGACAGAATACTGAAAAGGAACTCAAAGAAGTTTTAATGTTGTTAAAAAATGCCAAAGATTTATTAAATCAAGATCAAGTCGGTGTTAATAAACTTAAGCATAAAATACTTACTATAAGTAACGCAATCATGAAAGTAGACAAGACAATACAGATTATAGATAATTTAAGAATACAAGTAAATCATGCGGAAAATTTATTACAAGAAACTCAGGAAAAAGCGGAAGGTTCATTAATAAAAGCAGGTCAGAAACGTCCTAGAAATAATTTGGATATTCAATCATCAATTCATGATCCAATTGAGCTTAAAAATCGGATAAAGCAATTAAATTTATTAATTGATAAATTATCATCTATACAACATCAATTTGTTGAATTAAAAACAAAAATAGAAATTATAGATAAACAACAGGAACTGGGTGATGATACAGGTTTGGATAATAATCCATTTGAGATAGGATATGAATTAAATAAGTTGGATAATAATGAGGAAAATGTTCGTAAAAATATTGAAAAATTAAATAATTATATTAATGATATAAAAGAGAAAATTCAAGATGGTCAATTTCAGAAAAATAATGCCCAAATATTATTGGAAAATATTGAGAAAAAAATGAGAGTGGAATCTGGTGCTATTGGAGAAAAGTTAGATAGGATACAGGTGAATGATATGGCAATAAATAAGGCTGAAATCGAGGTCAGAAAATTTGATGATACGTCTGAATTGTCACAATTGGATCGAGCTCTTGAAAAGACACAGGCTGAGTTGGAGGATCAGAATGAGAACATTGTGATTTTTAAGAAGAAGATTGGTCTTAGAGTTGGTTTTATTGAGAAGCTAGTTAGTAGTATTAAGTGTGTTGAATTGGGTTTAATGATCTCTGAGTGCGAGGAAGAAATGGGACCTCATCAGAGTAGAAGTGAAGAACTGATTTCATTGGAGCGGGATATGTGTTTGGTTGATGGTCAGCTTAAGACGGAGCAGATGCAATTCAATCAATGTCAAGGTAGGATTACCGGGAAGTCGGAGGTTATAGAGAATTTGAGAAAAGAATTGGAACACAAGAGATTTCAAGACTGCCGAAAAAAACAGCAGCAAGCATACGTTCAATATTTTGTGCATGAAACAGCCTCAAATGATGTCAAGACTTATAGCGTATCTTTGGCGTCTGCCATTATGAAATATCATTCAGATAAAATTCACCAAGTAAATCAAATTCTGAAAGACCTGTGGCGTCAGGTCTACAGTGGCACAGATATCGACTACATAATCATCACTGCAGATGCAACGGAAGCCAAGAACTTCAACTACCGGGTCTCTATGGCCAGAAATAATGTTCAGCTGGAAATGAGAGGCCGGTGCAGTGCTGGGCAAAAGGTCCTCGCCAGTATTATTATTCGCCTCGCACTCGCGGAAACATTCGCAGCGCACTGCGGCATACTCGCACTCGACGAACCCACGACTAACCTGGACCGGCGCAACGTTGAAAGCCTCGCACGAGCTCTATGCCACCTCATTGAGTCAAGAAGAAACAGGGACTCCTTTCAACTCATCCTTATCACACACGACGAGGACTTTGTGGAATGCTTGAGACAAATGGGAGCTGTGGACTCGTTTTTCCAGGTCCGAAAAGATGCAGCAACCGGCACTTCACACATTTTTCAAGTCAATTGCTCTCGATGACGCAACCCTCCCGACCTGCCAAACACCACCTCATAGCAGCGCAAACCCCCCAGCAATTAACATGGTGAAAAACGAAAGAAAGGGCGATGTGAAAAAAGAGCCACTCAAACACATCCAGCTCTCACGTCCTTTGTATGTTGCCACGGAGATTCCGCGGCTTCGAGGCACCTATCCGTTACA